CTCTGACTGAAAGAACATTGCAGAAATTTTATTTCATCAGCTATGCAAGTTACATTTCCTGTCCTGATAAACACATACACTACAAAGTCCAAAAGACTTTAAGTTATCAAATTGCACTTGATTACTTAAGTCTAAATATTTTATCAAACTTTCATCACCCTGAAGGAGATCTTTTAAGGTGTTTCACTGCTGATTTTTTTTCTCAAAAACCAGAAACTCAGAAAACGTATTTTTTTGCTATTCTGTGCTAGTTCTGTGTCATAATTGAATTTCTGTAATTCCTTCTTTTCTACGCATTTCTTGATACTTAACTACATAGAGTCTGAAATTTGAAATTAAAGCTGGTGTATCAAGTATTACATTACTACATCTATCTAAATAGATTTTACAGAAAAAATTAAGAGACCTCAGGAGTTCTGTTAATCCTATTAACACTATTTGCACTTCTTTGAGAAATAATTTGAAACTCTGATAATATAGTTGTGCTTACAAGGAATACATAATACAAAGCCGGGCCTTCGTTAGTTTGTGAGCTGCCAAAACATCTGTCTTGCCGTGCACAGTACAAGTTCTATAGACAGGGTCCTTTTGAGATATGTGCTTAAACATCATTTCTTTGAAGGCCACAGCTAATGTAAGCACAGGCAACTTTGGACTTACAGCAAGAAATCTGTCCCGGAACTGATACAGTCTGACATCAATGAATGGCCTAAATTTGCAAACTCAGTGAATAGTTGTAGGACGAGCTTCTTTAACATGAAGTACGCTGTCTCTTCCTGCAATCATTCACTAAGTGGGTTTGTGCTCACACAGTACTTTGACCTATGACATCCTCACTAAAATAGCCAAATAAGTCAAGGTAGTATTCTTTGTGAGTCACCGGTCTTTCAGTGCCTTTTTTTTAACTAGTAACATTTAGTTGATTCTGATCCTCAGCCAGAAGAAGATATCCTGACGACTGTTCCACAGTGCAGGTCCTGTGTTTTTCCTGGCCTGCTTTCTTTTATGGGTTCAGGAATACTTAGCTCTGGAAGTAGTTTTTGAATTTTCACTGATGCGGCCTGATGAGGAAAGACCAGTCCAGTGGAGCTGTCTGCATCCTTTCTTGGGGCCAGGCAACCTTTGGACTCTAGGAACACTTGCAATATTTTCTTTTTAGCTTTGCACAAAGACCTTTCACCTGGATAAGACAGCTGGCTACAAATCTAGCATCCCCAGGGCATTCCTGACTTTTCTTAGCTGAGGATAAGATGGATATATCTTACTTTTATATTTACTGAGTTTTCAACAACTCCAGAATAGCAAACAAAGGCCTTCTTTACTATTAGTATCATCATGGTGAGTCTACTGGGAGGTTATCTCTGTATTCTGATTTCATCTGTGTATAAAGAACCACACAGAAACATTTCTCATTATGAATAAAAAAGTAATATGTAATGTCAAGCCCTAGAATTTATGATGTAATTAATACTTATAAAGCATTCCAAGTTCACCAGAAAGATAAGGATGTTTGAAATTTTAGCGGGTGGTAAAGTTACTGGATTACAATTGACTGCTTTGGATCTTATTCTGGTATTATTATTAATCCTAACTAGTTTGCTTCTTTAATTTTTCTTTAATTTTTCCAATAATTTTTGAAGATGAGAGGATCTGCTCCTTTACTGAGTATGAATATTAGCCTTAAATTACATACTTAAATCCATGCACAAGTCATCTCCAAATGCAGTGCATGCTGTAGGTAGTTCTAGCCAGTCAATACTTTTACCTTTTATATCCTTAAATGTATAACATATTCCAAAGAGGTGATGACAATTTGTAGATCAACATGTGAGAAGACTGTGATAAGCATAAGCTGATAAAAATTTCAGTAAATAGTTTCAAAACATATTTGTTGTCCCTTGAGATCTCTTAAAAAAAATCCAATCTTCAGCCAAAAGGAAAGAAAAAGAGAAAACTTAAAAGCTGTAGCCCAGTGCTGGGTTATTATCTCTAGGGTAAATAAGGCCTAAACCATTGATGGACTGGGACAGCATTTTGTATCATATCCTCTTCCTGAATTCTCCTAACTACAATTCTCTAAATTTAGCAGAAAGGGAAATAATTGCTCTCTTATATTAATTGAAGAGACGAGTGTGTAAGACAAAATTTCGAATGAAGTGGAAAGATACAGTAAATAATTGCAAAAATGCTGTCCAGTAACTCAAAGCCAGTTGTGCAAGGCATCACCCCTGATGACAAAGTCAAGATGAATTTCATACAAGCCACATTTATACTTTTCTACTGCTTAATTATTTGAGTAATTTAAAATTTTAGTCCCAGAGATCTGCTAATGGACCTGTCTTATCTGAAAGACATCTTAATATTCAGTTGTTAAGTTTAGACAGGTAGGAATAATAATAAAATATCTTTCTGAGCAAATACATACTTCTCAGCCGTGTACAGGTAGGAAACAAAGCTGTGCTGAAAATCTAGTTGCACCTTTATCACAATTGCCTCCCCTTCCTTCTGCACTTAAAATCTGTCATATTCTTAGGTGGTTTTTAATTTTTTTACCCTCTCCCACAGGGTAAATGTTCATGTTCTGTGGAGCAATCTGAAATAGCTGCTTTTGCTACCTTGATCAGAAGGACCTGAAACCATGGATGCACAGAAGAGAGCTGCCTTCAGGAAAGGTTTTGAAACCCTTTGTTTAATACTGATCTTGTACTCACAACTGAAAAGACTCATGGTGTTACCCAGTACTGTTAAAAATGTAGGGTTTAATCTAAACGTGTTTTAAGCACCTCTTTTTTTGAAATTGAAAAGCTCTAAGTTCTTAGCACTGTGTATAATCTGGTCCCTAAATTTTGGATGTGGGTGGATTTCCAAGTGAGTTGCTCTTGTTCTGGAATTCTGTGCAATTCTGTGGATCTCGTCCAGTTAAAAAAAATAATCTGGATATGCCAGAAGGTATGAAACTGTTGTACTTATAAGCTTCTAAGATGTAAAGGGTACAAACACTAAGATGAAACTAATGCTTTCTACAAATGTGTGAAAGTCACTAGCCAAAGGCTCTACGTACCAACTTCTTAGAATATACATATTTCCAGGAATCTGTATGTACATGGTAGTGTATACAGACATCCAGAGCCAGAAGTTGGTCAGCATTTACATGAAACAAATTTCTGCCTCTTTTGTGTCCATACTAGTGAACATATCTTGCTTAAAGAATATCATCCAGGCTGAGTTTGGAGGTGAAGAGCCTCTCTAAAACTATTCCCAGTATATCACGTTGAATACTTATAAAATCTGCCTCTAGATTAACCTATGGAACCATAAAAAAAAATATTGCTTGAATATCTTTTCATGTTCTCACTTTAATCATAAATGGAATTTAGGGTAGATCATAACTTAAAAATTTTTACACTGAAAGGTATATGCAAGATTCAGTGATCTTTAACATTGTTACCCTAGACTAAAGTACTCCCCAGGTATGGATAGAAAGATCTGGTCTCAGATATTTGGAACATGGTCTATTGGAAAAATAAGATGTTCGCAATTTCAATTTTTAAATTATTTAAAATGGGTAGCATGGCTTATAGCTTACTATAAAACTGCATACAGCTTAGATAGCAAATGTGACAGCCTTTTCCTCTCTTTAATGCATTTTGGTTTTCCTCTCTGAGTAAACTTCCCTCGTTCTTTCTCCTTATATAGACTGAGTTTTCAATGATTCCTGCCACCATTCCCACAAAAAAATGGAGGGAAGCTGGAGTTGTATATGCAACATATACAGGTCACTTTTCATGTAAACAAGCTTTATTTCATGTGTCCATGTCATTATGGTTATGACAGAAATGTTGTGGCAAGCTTTCTGACTGCAGCTTTTTAATAAGGTGCTTTTATGCTCTTGATTCATGTAGATTCAGTTCTCAGTGAAGTTCTACACTAATTGTTGTATTTGGATACTGAATTATTTTGACAGTAGTCAGAAATTATAGGTGGTCACAAAACTTTACAGATTTCAGCAGCAAATACTTGTGGCAAAAACACCTCTCTCTAGTAGACAGAGATAAGGTAACTGGCAACATAATAAGGAAATTCAGATGTGAGTTGAGTTCATCATCTTGAGGGTTTTTTTGAGACAGAAGATTATTCTTGCCAGAGCTAATTTCTGTATCAAGAAAGTCGTTAAAAACTGTAGCTCATGTCTATTGTCTGATCTCAGATTTCTGGCTTAAAATTTCAGACCTGACTCCAACAGACCACCTAACTGCTTTTACAGTTATGAGAAATGTAAATGGAGCAATTTCTGGCCACCAGAAAGCTGTGCATGAGGGTTTACTGGGTGCTCCAACAAAATTAGGAGCTGAAAGGTCATTGTAGCAGCCTAGACTAAAGGAATCCCCCATGTACCAGTGGTGATGAGAACCAAAAGGAGTCCTTAAGGTATCTTCTTCCTCCTTGCTTTCTGCTCTGTGTGTATCTTGCTTAGGATTCAGCCTTCATGGTTAATTAGACACATGGGAGTGCATAAAATAGTATCCCATTGAGAAAGTGAATATTCCAGATATGGAGTTACATAAAGTGTGAACAGAGATGGACAGAAATGGTGTTCCCCCCAATGTTAAATAAGGTAATGAAATAATTACATAAATGAATGTGGAATGGTGTAACAGGTGTGCTTACAACTCTGAATACAAGCCAGACAATGAGTGATGCTGACAGGGAAGGCGTAAAATTTATGCAAGACCCTATGGATGTTAACAGTAATTATAATAAATACTAAAATACAGAAAAGCCCAACTGAATATTGAATCTCTTTGCTACAGCTAATTACAGGCTCAGGTGGAAGACAACTTCAAGTTTCTCCTTGTAATAGTCTGACTACTTCAAGCCAAATAAATAAAGAATGAGATGCTCAGGGGAAGAAAATGTAAACCATGCTTTCCTGCTTGAAGTACAACATTGTAAGAAATAGTATTTTCTTGACTGAAAGATAATATAAGACTGTTACCTACCTTAAGTTCTCTAAAAAAGATGCTACTCCTAGCCCACTCAACAATGGAGAAGAGGGTTTGATCAGCCATTTTACACATAAGCCCAAATGTGTTGAGCTTCTCGTGTTTGCTTCTGTTGGCTTGCTCTTGCTGCAGATATGCCATGATTTTAGCTTGGACTTGCGGCTCATCTGGCTCACATTTCAGGAGTTCCAATATCAGATGTGGAATACTTGCTGGTGAGCTTGTTTGATAACCATCCATGTATGAGTAGCCCATTATTGACTCTGGTGAACTAGTGTAAGGGTCAGGGTACTCAGACTTGATAGCACGGCTTGGAAAATGGCCATAGGTTTGGTAGCCTTGCAAACTGCCGTGGGGTGGCATTGTCATACTAATTGGAGAGGTTACAAAGGGACTTCTGTCATAGTCTGTGGGAGGCAAGGCAGTATGGTTCAGAGGTAGGCCTTTGGAGGCTGAATGGATGTTCTGGATTGCAGAGGATATTGTCAGGTCAGTTGGCATTGCTTGGATCACCTGAGTCATGGCTTCCAGTTTAAGTCCGTTTGCTCGGATAAGAGCTTTCTTCTGCTGCTTCAGTGCCCTGTCTCTCTTGTACATTGGTCCAAACTTGTTTCGACCGCCACGCATTCGGTCAGCTCGCACAGCTGCCAGGGGAGAGGAGGAAGTAAATCATAGTTAAATCTTGGAACAGACATTCTCTATTGAAACATACACTAGGAAAGAGCAGAAATGTAAAAATATAACTCCTCTTTTCTTTTTTTTTTTCCACAATTTTATTCCTAAAGGAAAAGATTTATTTTGACTTAACAAGTGTCACTTTTTTCTAGTGACACTTAAATGTCACATGCATATATTACTAACATAGGAGAACTCTGTACATTGATTAGGACACAGGGACAAACACAATGGATGGCTACAGGAATTTCACACCTGCTATGGGATCATGTGGAAATCTCAATGTACATTTGGTTTTATGTCAAGCTACTATGTCATTAAGAAACAAGGGCTGATGTCCAGAATTTGTCTGAGACGTATCCAGCAGACCACATTGTCTCATTATAATCATTCCATTACTGCCTTCCACCGCAGCAAAACATCTGAAATGTAAATTGTGAAACATTCAGTAGTCATGAAGGGGAATACATTTCTCTTGGCAAAAAGGAAATATTTCCTTCTGATGATTCTGTTCAGGTTGGAGTAAAACTTCGACATTTCTAGTTTGCTGAACAGCTCTGCTGAAATGTTTAGCTGCAGTTGGAATGTGCAGAGAGAAAGCTGTCAGCTTGCTGCCTTCCACGTGGAAGATGGAAGTGAAACAGAAACTATTGACACAGTTCTGGTCTACAATATCTCTGGAATTAGAAATAATTAAAACAAATCCTACTCAACAGCTGCCCTGGGAGTCATACTGGTGGTCTCTGCCACAGCAGCATCTGTCACCATGGTATATATGTGCTGGACTAGTGAGTGAGGAGCTTTCACCAAGCCCACCTTACCCAACAGCAATTAGATTGAAAGAGGAACCTTTGACAGCCTGGTGACATGTTGAGACTGCTGAGATTGCTGGAGGTTAAGTTCTTGAGCTTTTTATCTTAGGGATTAGTAGGACATTAAAAATTTATTATGAATGCTAGATACGCCTAATACTGTACCTTATCATAAGGACTTTAACGTTTAATGATTTTTTTTTTTTCGGTCTATGGGTGCTTATGAACTAGACTTTTAAGGCTGTATATATATTTATGACTATCAGGGAAATACACATATAAATGTCACAAGTATTGACTATTATGGAAGCATGTGTTCTTCCAATTTTCTAAACAAGGAAAAAGAAGTTGCATGGATGTGGATAAGGAAGATAAAGTACATTTTCTACAGTATCTTTAAAAGCACAGGCACTTTGCTTGAATTTGTAGTAAAAATGATGCTTCTAAAATTGTGGTTGACTTTGAACAAAATGCAAGAAATTAATGATATCACTGGTAAATGTAATTTATTTTAAATCTGTATACACAGTATCCTCCTAAGTACTCTGCAATTAAAAACTGTGAGCAAATTGGATTAGCAAGTGCTTTTGTATAACTTCTACTTAAATTTAAGGTGAACTGCGTGCAATCACAGAAGACAAATTTTGGTCTTGTATCACTGTCAACAAGGGAGAGGAGTTAAAAGTAGGAGTAGATAAATGTATTTTATCCTTATCCTTAATGTTAACAATTACAAAAGGATTTAACACGTCCTATTATTGTACTGTTTGAATTTGGAAGCACATGCAGTGATTCAGGATGTTTAGTGCACTGTGTCAGTGCTCGCTCAGTCTTGTGGGCAATTAGAACAGTATTGAATCAATTAAACTGCAGGAGGCTGATTTTTCTGTTTATCTTCAGTTATATCAACAGCTTTCCTTTGCCAGAGTCAGGTGACAGGGTCTTTTCCTTTATGGTTCCCTTCGTGGTTTATGGTTTCCCTTCTTTGGCCTGATTTTTCCTGGTTAAGCATCTACAGTGAATGTCATTTCAGTACAGTTGTAACAATAAGGAATGTAGGAGATTGTCCTTGGTCAAGGAAAAATGTCATCTGCTGTGAAATCTGAATTTCAATATTTTATATATCAAAGTTAGAATGAACTATGTATGATTCACAAATTCAAGTTGACATTTTTCCATTCGGTTACCTCAAAGGGTATTGTACACTTTTCATTATTCTCTGCAGATGAGAAAGTGAAATGAAGTCAAAAAGTGTACTTCAAAATGCCTTATTCTCTTTCAATTGCAATAGCCTCGCAGGTGTAGCATTACAAAAATATAGGACACAACTTTAGAGATTATTTGGTTCCTTAATCTCAAAGGCAAGTCGGTGTGAGAAAAACCCTTATTTTATCTGTTTCTTTGTTTTCTGCCTTATTGTCAGAAGAATGTATGTTAAAAACCCCATCAACCCTAGATAAAATACAAATAAAATCAGATCACTCTCCATAGTAACAAATAATTTTTTTAATAATCTGGACACTTCTTATGTATTTTATGTTTAATTTAAAACAAGTCTTTTAAAAAAGCTGCAAAACTATTGTATCTAGTTCCATTAATTCACAAACTCTAAACTCCTGAAATATCAAACTATATGAAACGTATATGAAAAAATGGACTATGGTTCCTAGCGATATACCATTTACTCACTAGATTTTTTATAAAGCAACAATTTCACTGAGCATGCACAGTAATCTTTTATTATAATTTCAAAAACATAAATATGTAACTTTTGAAATATAAAATGGAATGTAGCAACATCTAATCCTATAATTTTATAGTGTAGTTGAAGATATCAGCAAGAATGTAGCTCTTACCTTCCAATTTCATTCCAACACTTAGACATTTTTGAAATCGACAGTAAGGGCATCGTTTTCGCTGTGTTTTGTCAATCTGGCAATTCTGATTTTCTATACATGTGTACCTTTTGTTATTCTGGACTGTTCGCTTAAAGAATCCCTGTATGATAGATACAAAAATTAGCCTGTTTTGCTTGAATATTGTATTTCAGCATTTTATTTTATGGAAATCATTGTAACATAATTTTCAGATGCCACTCAAGCACTTACAAAGTTACATAGTCTATTTTAAATGAGTGATCTGAACCCAGACTCCAGAGGAGGTTTTCTTGTCTTAGTGCTATGTTTTATAGGCTTATGTCAAAGATTGGTAAGGCTGTAGCCTTCTGTGCTTCTGACAGTGGTGGCAGAAATAGTGACACTGACCAGTTCCTTCTGTATTCTTTAATCATAGAAGAATTATTAAAGTCTTTATCTTTTAAAGTAGTTTTACATGAAATAAGTAGGGACACTGTTGCAAAGATAACAGAAGTACAGAATACCTCTGGCTACTGTACATCCCAGTGGAGCATGCTAGAGGCATAATAAGTGCTTGTCATTCACTACTCATTGATTATTTTTTAGTGAAAATATAATGGACTAAGTTAATTTTTCTATGCAACTAAATGTTAAATTGCATTGTTCTGGCAAAGGAGTTTCCTTTACAGTGCACTACTTAAATAACTGTAAAATATTTTAAAAATTTTACACTAAAAATATGACATCATAAATTCATAATTATGTAAACCTTATAGTATAATAAAACAGTGCAGATATATTCATCTTTCCATATGATAAATTGCATTTAATAATATTTTATTTTCAAAACTAATGAATGATCTAACCAAATAATTAGTTGCTTGACTTTGTGTGTCAAGTGAGCTCAGACAGTTCTAGTTTGCATGAGAAAAGTGCATAGTCATTATAGTCACAGAAATGTATATTGGAATATTGAAGGATGAAAGAAAAATCTTAAGAAAGCTGCATTAGATTTCGCAAAGGTGATCTGTATTGAGGATAATTTTCTTACTTTATCCTCCAGGAAAAGAAATACTCTGAATGGATATAAATCAACTAAAACCAATATTTAGGACAGTTAGGAATGAAACTTCTAGAACTACATGACAACAGCAAAATACTTAAAAGCAATGACAAAACTACAATGCAAATCAGACCAAGTTGTTTCCATTTGTGCAGATATCTCTCTCAAAAAAACTTCTAAATCCTAAAGCTTTTTAGTGGTTAATTTTTTTATGTGAATGTAATAAGAAACATATCAGGAACAACCCAAATTACTACACATCTGTTTTCTTTAATTATCTTTTTCTCCTGCTTATATTTGAAACATTTTTTGCTATACTTGTGTTTGTATGGAGTAATAAGTAGAGAACCTTGCAGCTTTCACAGGTGAGAAGTCCATAATGGTACCCAGACACTTTGTCTCCACAGACTGGACATAGTTCCTCAAGGTCTTCATCATAAGAGTAATTCACCATTTTAAACTGAGACACTGGGGAAAGGAGAAATAGCACATTCAATTAGAATTTATGTTACTAATTTAAATTTTCTTCAACTGTTCTCACCTAGAGAGAAAGCTCACTTAAACAAGCACACTATTGAAAATAGGGGGACAAAACGTTTTATTTTTAAAAACAACTTGCATGGAGACATGCAGCTTTTCATCATCATCAAATCTGCATGGTACTTAAGAAGCATAGCAAGAACCATCAACTTCTAAGTTTTATGTTTAAATATTTATATTTATAGAGTGCCTTTAACTTAGTGCTTACTTTATGGAATAAAAAACGGAAAGAATTAATTTAAATCCAAAAATTATCAAGGGCAGAAAGAAAAGACTGCCACTTGCATATTTAAAGCAATTCGTTTCCTTTAAAGTTTTCTTTCAACATCAGCTTGCAAATATTTACCTAGACAAAATCTGTATCTCACAGACCGAGCACTTTTGCACCGCGTGAAATCCAAGTTAGCTGCTTGCAAAACCAGCTTAAAACCGGCTCCGCGCCTCCCAAACCCGTCGTCTCGGGATGACCGCCCCCTCGCCCCCTGCCCTCGCCCCCTGCCCGCGCCGCTGGGTGAGCGCTGCGTGCCCGCAGCCCGCGGCTGTCACAGCCCGCGGGTCCGCAGAGAGACGGGAGAGACGCTTTTTAGCCGTCGGCGGGTCGGCAGAGACAGCGCACCGAGACCGCCGTCCTCGGGGGATGCGCTCAGGTCTGCCCGGCCCGCAGACCCAGCATCCCCCGCTGCCGGGGGCTGGGCGTGAAAGCTGCGCGCCGGGGCCGCCTGAAGTTTCTGCCGCTCGGGGAAAAGGCGGGGTGGAGCCGTCAGGAGAGGACGGGGGGCTAAAACATGCGGAATGAAGCGCGGTCACTCGAGCCGGGCTCCCCCACAAGGAGCCCCGGTCAGCCGCTCTGGTTATTCCCAAAATGAAACCCTTCCACTCGATGCGGGGCCAGTTTCCTTTCCCCTCCCTGCTGCTAAGCCGCCGACCTGGTCGGAAAGCATCGTGGCAGCGGAAGGCTCCTGAGCAAGGCGAGAGGCAGTGGGCATCGCCGCCGCACTGCTTAGGATGTCGCCTTTTTGCCTTTAACCCTGCGGCTGCCACAGGTCGGGGGCACTGGAGCGCTCAGACTCCGCCTGAAGCCCCCGGACCGGGCGCCCTGCTGGCGCCCGGTCGCCAAAGCAAAGAGCTGCGTCCTGGCGCTCGGAGGAGCTATCGGGGAGCGCGGGGACATTATCCCGCTAGCACGCTGCCGGAGGAACCTTTCCTGAGCGACCTCGACACGTCCAGGGATCGCCGCCTGCCAGCGGCGTGGGGCGGACACGGGGCGGCCGCAGGCGGAGGAGAAGGAGGGCCCGGCCCTCCCCTCTGCTCCTGCGGTCCCGGCTCCAGGGTACGGCGCTGGGGCGAAGTTCCCCTCCTCGTAGGAAAAAACAAATGGGAAAGCAGGGGTTTTCCAACCGCCGTGCCCTTGCACGGAGCCTCCTCCTTGGGTGAGGAAAGGGCTGGGCAGGTCGCCCCCAGCACCTCCAGGTCCCCGGCCCATCCCGCCCTTACTTCACAGCAGGCTCCCGGGAGGAGAGGGGATGATTTCGAAAGAGCAGGCAGGACGGGAGTTGGGGCCCAAGGAGAGGTGCACAGGGCGGGGTGGCCACTGGCCGCATCCCAGGGTGCCGGCTCCAAGGCACGGAGGCGACCCTCGGCGGGATCTGCGCCGTCTCTCTCCGCGCAGCGCTCCCAGCCGGAGCAGGGCACTGGGAACAGCCCCGTCCCGCCAACCCCCCAGAGACATTTCCAGCACCATCCCAACTCGGGCATCCCTCTGCCTTCCTGAGTACCCCGCAAGGGCGCAAATCCTCCGCGGCATCGGGGCTTTCTACTGCGAAGTTTCGCGACACCGCCGCTGCCACCTGCGCGGTACCTGCGAGCGCCGCACCCGCGGGACAAGAGCCCTCGGGTCCCGTTCGGGACGGTGTGTGGCACACAGAGTGCTCGGCAGGACTTCCCCGCCTAACTCCGCCTGCCATAAACTCCGAGGCAGTCTGACGCGGACTGGGAATTAGACCGAGATCCCCTGCATCTGCAGCAGGGCAAGGGAGTGTACGACAGGGCGTCTGCACGCCAGGGAAGGCTACGACCGGCCAGGTGCTTGACGGTTCCCCGGCCGCGGTTGCAACTTCAGACCAGGGCCCTTCCGTCGCCTCGGCCCTGGTGCCCCGACACCCAGTGCCCCGACACCCACTGCCCGCTCGAGCAACCCTGCAAGTTGGCCCGCGAAGGCAGGGGCTCTGCGAGGCGCGGAGCGGGCTGCGGCGGGGGAGCTCGCAAGCAACAGCCACAAACTTTTTTGGCAGGACGAAGGAGCGCTTTGCCGAGGGAAACCCGAGCGTGCGCGGAGGGGGAGCGCCATGCCTCTCCCCCCTTACCTTGCATGTTTTCCGGCATCTGCCCCTGTTCCCCATTCGACCGGGCGAGTCCCAGAGCCTCCGTTTCCACTTTGGGCAGCATGACAAGGCGGCTGCGGGCCGGTCTGGGAGCTCCGTGTCCGTCCGCGACAACAGCACCTGGACACGGCAGCACAGATTTAGCTGGAGCAAGGGGCGCTCGGCGGCCGCTGCCTCTTCCCCCTCTTCCCTCCCTGTGCTCCACGCCAGCCCTTGCCCAGCTGGAGCGGGAGCACCGAGCGGCCCCGGCCGCCGGGAAGCGCCGCCGGGTGCCCGCGGCTAGCGGAGCTACGGAGCGATAGTCGCGCTGCAGGCGGTGGGGGGCGGAGAAGAGAGGAGGAGGAGGAGGAAGACCGGGGGGTGCCGTGGAGGAAGGAGGAACCCCGGGAGCTGGCAGCAGCTCCGCCCGGGGCTCAGCACGGCGGCAGCTCGGCGCCCCGATCCATGCGGAGCGGCACAGTGCACAGGAGCGTTCTGCCGCCGCTGGTGCTGCTGGACAGGGTTCCCACCCCCGTCCCCGTCCCCGTCCCCTTCCTCCCTCCTCCTCCTCCTCCTCCTCCTCCTCCTCCCCCTCCTCCTCCCCCGCTTCCCCCCGGTACAAGTGCGGAGGTGCCGACTCGGGACCTCCGGCCCCGGCCCCGCGGGGAGGCGCTCCCGGAGCCTGGGGGCTGCAGGGCGCGGGGTCTCCGGCGAAGGGGGGCCCCGACACTGCCCTTGCAGCCAATAAGGCAGAGGCGGGATGAGCAACACCCCCCGCGCACACACGCACCGCACACACACTGGCCCAGCGCAGTCACCCCCGCTGGTTAAAGGGGGGTGCGGCGTGAGGAACTGGGCTGCTGCTGCCCCTCCTCACCCCAGCGGAGCCCGACGGGCCACCAGCCCCGCCGAGCTGGGGCTACGCCTACTCTCCCTTCCGCGGGCAGCCACGCTCTAGCTCCCTTGGATCCGGAGGGGCAATGCCCTTGCCCGGCCAGCGGCGGCTGAGGACACCCCGACCCTCACCTTCTCTCGGGGCGGGCGGGGGTACACAGTGGAACTCCCAACCCCTGCGGCCACGTTGCGGCTGGCGCAGCCCTAGGGTCTGACACAAGCGGGCGGGATCCGCGTTGGAGCTCGCTGCACCTATTTAGGCTTTTTCGGTCTCCCTGCCCTAAGCCTCTTGCGAAATCTGTCAGTGCCAGTAGCATCGTTTGCACAAAAGCCAATGCCCTGGCAGAGCCATTGCTCCCTTCCCCGGCTCACAGTGCAGCAAGTGGCACTGGTTTCCAAGTTGTCCCAAAGAACTCGTTTCTCGCACGCTAGCGCTTGCTTCAGCGGCGAGAGCCGGGCGGCCCCGCGGCGCGGCGCGGGGGAGCCCCGGGGGCGGCGGGGTGCAGACCGCCCGGCGAGTCGAGCCGGAGCTCTGCCCGCCCCCGTTGCCCTTCCCGCCCCTCCTTCGCCGGGAGGGTCCGGGAGGCTCCACGCAGTTCCCACTGAGGCGCATAGGTTTGGTGGTGTGGGATGAGCGATATTTGCACCTTGGAAAGCATCCGAGCTCCCCATCCGAGCGCTCGGCTGCCCGTGCTCCTCTGGCACTTTAATCTCCGTTGTGTATATTAGGAGCTGAAAATATTTGGCGGTAAAAATTGCTTCCGATGGGAAGTGGGGCACGGAACTGTCTCTAGCGCAGAGTATGGCATTTCCCATCGTCTGGGAGAGAGATGGTGAAAACTGGTCGTTGTTGTAACTTAGTGGTGGTGATCGCAGGGTGAACCCGCAGTGGGACAAGCGCACCACATGCAGAGAGCGGACTCGTCTATGCTCAACTTTTTGCATCCAGTAGCTGGGACACCTTTGCTAGTTCAGCGCAGATCTCGAGCCAACCCAACAACAGCATCAGCGGAGTAGAGCCCAGCACGCAGAGAGGCTCAGACCTCTCGGGCTCTTTCCATTCTCACCTTTCCCCATTCCCCTTCGGGCGGGAGTGCGAGCGGGTGAACTATATCAACACTTTATACCTCAAGTTATAATTTCACAGTTTAGCGGGTCGTCTGCGAATAGGTTTTAGGACAGCAGTATGACGAGCTGCGTGAGAGAACAGCTGGATGGCTAGGACGGGGCGGCTGAAAACCCTCTCGAGGGAATGCCCCGTTTCTAGGCAGAAGTAACTCAGGCTGAGACTCTGTTTCGGCCCCTGGGAAATTGTTCCCAGATACATTAGTTGCAAACAACCCCTCTCGTGTAGTATCTATCGCCCAGCGCTGAGCCCGGGCGGCTCAACACGCGGCGTCCAGAGCACAGCGGCGGCTCCGCTCCGTTCTTCCGGCACCCGCCCTGAGGGCTGCGGGTCGGGGGTCTCCGCGGCGCGGCGAGGCCGCGGCCCTCCGGCCTTCCGAGCCTGCAGCCGGGCCGCCTGGGCCCGACGGGCGGCCGGAGCGCTCCGAGGGCGGCTCGCAGAGGAGCGACCCCTCCTCGCAGCCCTTCCCCGCAGGAGAAGTGTTGTCAGTCAGAGCACAGCTCCGGACGCATTTACAGCAGACCGCCAGGACACCCACGGACCTGGGTCCTGCAGCCCGCTGGGCTCCACCGGGCAAGTCGGTCCCCTCCCTCCCGCTCACCGCCGGGTGGGTCACGCCGCTTGGCGACACCCCGACGGAGCTCTCCGTGATGCCACTCTCGTTACCGCTGCTCCGGGGAAGGCATCCCTGTTCGGGGGAAAAGCAGGGGAAGAAAACCCCGCGTCCGGACAGGGCAGGCGAAACCAGCCCGAGCGCAGCCGGGGCCAGGCGGGCTGCGGCCCCCGCGGGCAGCGCGGCCAAGTGCATCCGCCGGCGGGTGGCCCGGGCTGGGTCGGCTATCCCCGTACAACACTCCGCCGAGGATATGGCCCTAGCACTGGTCCCCGGGCTTTTCGTTCCTACTCGTGGGCTTAATGTGATTCCGCCAGGGAAGGGTTTGGAGAGATTTCAGTCTGTACATCGCAAAGTCACTCTGCGAGCTGTCGCTATGGATGAAAATACTTTGGAGTGGTTATTACACATCCACATTTCTCCGAAGTAACAGTTTAGGGCAGTACATATTAAAAATGATACCTGGTCCCTTGTGGCTACATTTAATTTAACATGGAGTTCTAGCTCTCACGATTGCCTTGAGCAACCTTAATTACCCTTTCTTCTAATATCTTCTCCATTCCTTACTAAGTTCTCCAAACTTTTTTTTTTTTAATGCGATTTCTCTCCTGAGTTTGCCTGCCTTGTTCTGACTTTGCCTGAAGGTCTTGATTGACGCGTGTAATTATAATTATAAAAGATGATGGCTCGGGGAGCCTGCAGCAGCCTTGATTAGTACAAGGAGCAAGACCTGGAATATTTTATGCTTCCCTATTTAAATGTATGTACATTTACATTAAAAAAACCCCACTGTCTAATTTTAAATAATCTGAAGCTTCTTCCACCTCTCTGTTTTCAAGGCAGAGGGTTCTGTGTAATGATATTTCTAGGCAAGCTCCGATTTCTTACAGCTTCCAAGAGCCCACAGAACCTGAGCAAATTTCAAAGCCTTTTCCCTAAACAGAGACATTTCCAACTTGAAAGGTCTGCTTGATGAGAAACAAACAGCGTGCTCCCTTCGAGCTTTGTGTCGGGGAAGTGTCCCGGAGAAGGTTTGATTTATCTTCTCAGCAAACTAGCGAAAGTGAACGTTTGGGGATGGGGGTGGTAAATGTTCAAGACAAACTTCGCAGAAGTAAATGAAACAAATAAAAACTTCTGCTGGGAAGTCTAAATCCGGTCAAAACTACTTAAATGGAAGTATTTAAGGAGAGAAACCCGCATCATGTCCTTCTTTCTCTCCCGTTGAACATTCCCTTTTGCCTGCCAGCCCAGAGCTGCCCTGAGCCATCCTACAGTGAAAACTGTGACTTCAGCCAGGCTCGAGGAGGGAGTCAGCGCCACGCAGCCTGTTCCCGGCGCAGCCACACAGCCCCGAGCACAGGCTGGCACAGCCACGGGCACGCAGCGGCGCGGCCGCGGCAGAGACGGGCGCGGCCTCGGGAAGTGCCCCGGAGGAGGCAACGTGAGGCAGACACGGGATCCCTCTGCAGCCGGCAAAGTTCATAACGCCAGTTTGCTGCTCCACCTCACGCACCTCTCACGCCCAGCGTTACGAGACTGTTTACACCAGGAAAAGCGTGTCCAGTACAGGTTCTGCTCTATTCTTCCTCTTCTCTTCTCTTCTCTTCTCTTCTCTTCTCTTCTCTTCTCTTCT